CACACACACACACACACACACACACACTAGTACTGATATCTGCTTCATGGATTGACAGATGACACCTAATTACATTTTCAACACCAACTATTTGGGTGATTGATTTATCTACTGTACTCTACTTAGTGAAATATTGTAGATCACAGGTGTTAAACTCAAGGCCCGGGAGCCAGATATGGCCCGCCACATTATGTTATGTGGCCCTTGTGAAAATACCAACATTGCAAATTGTCTTTCCTTTGAAAAATGTTGAGATATTTTCAGCATTTTTGTGACCAATGCACCTTTTGAATTAATTTAATAATATTTAAACAATTGTTTTTTTGGGGGGGGGGTGGGGGGGGCCTGGTTTGAAAACTCATTAATCATTAATGTGTTGTGTATATGTAAGATGAAGTGATTAATATTTATTCACAGTCATCCTGTAACAGCCCTTATACGGAAACCATAACTACAATGTTGCCTGTGACAAAAATGAGTCTGACACCCCTGTTGTAGATCAGTTGGTCCATTGACAAAACATAAATCTGACCCGGCCTTTTTCTTCATGTCACACAGAAACAGAAACACATTGTGATTTTCATAGTGATGTCACCATAATATAGGTATTTCATATAAGATGTTTACTGGCATGTTCTGCAATTATTGGCCAAATGTACTTTAGGGCTGCCATGATTACCGTATTTTCCGCACTATAAGGCACACCGAAAAGTCTTCCATTTTCTTAAAAGCTCACGGCGCGCCTTAAAATCCGGTGCGCCTTGTGTATGGTCATTACGGTAATATGTCGACCCCAAGATGGCTCCTTGCCGGAGACATGCTTACAATGTTATAACTTGCTGTTGGTTCAGTGAACTGTGTCACTGCTTTATTAAATACGTTTTTGTTGCAGCTCCAAAAAAAGGAGAGCTGTGGTGTTGTTTTTTTTTTTTTTAAACGCACACTTTATTAATGGTTTTCACAGCCTCAACAAATACAGGTACGTCTTTGTCCGTCTCCGTGCCTTCTCTTCTTCTGTTCGACTCAAGAGGCGTTCATGACCGCCTCCGAAAAACGTAAATCCACGTTTACTTCAATGAAACTAGGAAAATTAAAAATAATGCATCAAAACAGAAAATCAAGCGAGGAAATCACAAAATAAATTCTATAGCTCCCCTACAGAATTTATTTTGTGATTTCCTCGTTTGTGGTTGGTTTTTCCCTCGTTTGTGGATACAGTACACAACAAAGGAATAAATAACAAACACTTCAGAGACAGTCCAGTCTCCTACATTTTACTAACATCTGATCGTTCTGTTGGAGCCACACTCAAGGAAATGCCAAAATAAATCTGTAGGGGGGCTATATAATTTATTTTGTGATTTCCTCGCTTGATTTTCTGTTTTGATACATTTTCAATTTTCGCAGTTTCATTGAAGTAATGTTAATTTACGTTTTTCGGAGGTGGTATTGAACACCTCTCGAGTTGAATGGAAGGAGCGTAGCTCCATCTAGTAGATGCATTGTAGATTGCACCTTATAATCCATTGTGTCCAATATATGAAAAAAAATTACAAAATAGCCCATTCATTGAAGGTGCGCCTCATAATCCAGTGCGCCTTTTAGTGCGGAAAATACAGTAGTCACAAGTTCGAGCAAAATCATTGACAATTTAATAGTTACCCCGTCGTTTATTTTTTGGGCACTTTATTTTACTCTCAACGAGAGCGTGGGGAACGACAGTGAGATCTGGAAAGGCATGATTGCCTGGCGTTGAATGACCCTTCCTCAATTTACTGGTTACTGGAGAGGCAGGTCCATCGGGAAGTTAAATCTCAGATTCAGGAGGAGGAGCGTGATTTTCATCCTGGCGATGGAACAGTGGACCAGCTCTCCAGCCTCAATAGGTTCTTGGGGGGCATGGGAGTTTGCCCAACCAGTCCGCATGTGTTTTGTAAACTTGTAGAAGGTCCCCCTAGGGGATCTTGTGGGTGGTGCTGAGGAAGGCTATTCCTGTTCCGGTCCCTGTACCATTGGTGTCAGAGTTTGGTCGGCATTTGCGGCAGTAAGTTGGATTTACTGGACCCGGGAGGGGGGGGGGGGGCAAGTCCCTGATGGGGGCCGATTGACCAGGAGGAGGAGGAGGAATGACAGAGTTACATATTATTTCAGTATGTCATTTAGGGGTCTGCAACTCTCCAATAAAAGACTATTCGATTCGTATCTCGATAGATGGAGTGTGGTATGATTCAAGGAAGGTTCATTTTAGAGTGGAACTATTAGATTCTGTTCGATTTGCAATAAGGAAAGGCCTACAGCCAAACCCAAAATTATTCATAACCCAAGTGTATGCAAAATTCTGGGCTTGACTGTATATACACATATACAGTATACTGTATTTAGTCAATATGCCCTAATGCATTTCGATCTGATGAAAGATACTGCAGTCTTGAGCAAAGAAGCAACCTCTAAACCAGCGGAGTCAAACTGAAGGGGTGTTCACACGGCACACATTTGATCCGGCGCTGCACCGATGTATTTTGTTGCGATATAGTTTATACCGGAGCAAATTTTGTGGAGTGTTCACACGTACAACGCCGCTGAGAGTGGCAGCACCGGCACAGTGTCGGTGCAGCTCCACTTGCGTTCACACGGCAGTTTCTGCAGCGGAGCAAAACGACAGAAAACAAATGAGTTGTCGTGTTGGTTCTTTTTTAAACGTATACACAACTCAAGCAACTACTGTACAGGCACGTCCTTCTCCTTCTCTGTCTCCGTGCCTTCTGCTCGAGAGTGACTGCCCCCCCGATAACGTAAATCAACGATGACTTCAATGACACTCAGAAAAGCAAAAATGTAATGCGCCAAACAGAAAAATCAAGAGAGGAAATCACGAAATAAATTCTATGGGGCACGGGGGGGGTTGTGAACACACAACAAAGGAACAAACTACACAAACAACTCCGAGACAGTCCAGTCTCCTACAAAAGGAAAGATGACATTTGGAGACTACCCCCCCCCATTCTAGTTGAGATGGTATAACCCAAGAGGTGCTTTGCTACTGTTACCAGCCTTGTCTTGTGTCGTTATTAAATAAACACATGACGGAAGTCCGACAGAGCACGAAAGCAACGCATTCTCGCCGTACGTAATCAACTCTTCTCATGCGTAGCGAGGCTACTCCCCCCTCGCAAACGAGCATTTGCTCCCGAGCAAATTGTAGCGTTCACACGTGCAAATTTACATCGGTGCTGCGCCGCAAACGAGCATTTGATCTGGAGCAAATTTTTAAACCACCTCCCTGAGGTGGATCAAATTTGGTCTGGTGTAAGCTGTTTAGCAGCGCTACGCCGGAGCAAATTTGCACGTGTGAACGCTCAACTGGTGCAGCGCCGGTGCTGTGTCGGACCAAATGTTGCCTTGTGAACACCCCTTAATTTTTGTCGCGGGCCACTTCGCAGTTACGTCTTCCCTCGGAGGGCCATTACGACAGTGAAACTGAATAGATGTTTAATCATCTCATCGTATTATTACTTGTACACAACAAATTGATGTAGTACTAGTTTTGAAATCACTCAAGTCAACTATTTATTTGTTGTTTGCTCAGTTATTGTTCAAGTGATGTTTGCTCAGTTATTGTTCAAGTGAGTGTGAACGGGGTAACACAATTATTGGAAAATTTAAACATGATATATTACACATGACAATTTTACATTTTAGCATTGATTTTGACAAGTATCAGTGAAGTTGCTTTTGTGGCCCACATAAAATGACATGGTGGGCCGGATTTGGCCCCCAGGCCTTGAGTTTGACACTGGTGCTCTAAACATAACTGTTCTCAGTCCGCTGCATGGGCGTAAGATGGAACACCAGATGGTCAGAGTTACAGAGAATTGGTGGACCTTGACTTAGAAAGGCTTGGTTGCTGTCAGATTTGTCCAAATCCTCATCGTTGTCTCCCATAGTTGACTAATTGAGAGTGATGTAACTGAAAGCATTAAGTCCAGTTTGCAGCGATGAAAAATTCCCTAGAACAACAACAGAGGCCCCAAGGGTGACACGATCGATTGCATATACATTCAGCAATAGGATTTGCTGCTCTTGCTACATTACCAATCGGGGCTACATTTGCCACATTTAAACTATAATGTTGCCGTAAGACCGAACGCAAACTAAACGTTTATGGCTGTGCGTTTTCATTTAAAGTCAATGCAGGATGAAGGATTAAAAATTGAAATTTTGCTTCTCTGCCCATTTCTCTGTGGAAGCTGAAGTGAAATTCTGGCAGCGGCGTGCCACCGACAGCCAATTGGCATCGAGGACATATTTACTATGCCACACGTAGCACTACTGCACATGCATAGACCAACAGGCAAATAAAGGGAAAAAAACAGACACATGCTGTGTGGTGAAATAAAATTAATGTGGGACAAAATCATTCCAGGAGACCGGGAGGTACAATATACAAGACAGCCAGCTTCCAATTGCGGCCGGACCGAGACAAAAAGAGGCACGCTTGAAGGAATTGGAACCAGATGTAGTCTGGTGCATGTACATATTGACTTGTTTACAGTTGTTGAATTGTCAACAAAGATAGCATTTAACAGCCGAAGAAATAACACAAGCCTTGGTTACTAGATTGAGGAGCGATGTTCAAATTGTTCTCCTCTTGTCCGTTCGAAGCAAACTCAGTACTGTATACAGACACCCGAGAACAAAAGCATGCAATACACGCAGGGCAATGTGATATTTCATATTTAGTTGAACCGAGCAACAGGTTTTAAAATTCTCTCTGTCAATAACAAGGGTGCGTTGATATGCAGGTTTTCACAGTTTTTGTTTTTTACAATGTATGAGGTTGACCATTTGTTCCTGTAAAATGATTCAAAGCACGTTATGACTTGATTTGCAATCTTTCCAATTTGCAAGACATTGGATTAAAGCGCAGCAGTTAGTACTTTTCAAATACAATTTAAATGTGATGAAAAGACTCATCTGAAAAGTTGTGTTCTCTTCCCCAGACGTTGTTTTCAGACAACACATCTATATGTGGAGGACAGCAGTTTGCCCAGGATGGTGGCCAATGAAACGGCCCCTGCAGCCTCTATCCCAGGTAATAAATCAATGTGTTACTTGTCACCTAGGCTAAAAATAATAACTATGTTAATTGTTGACCTGTTATTCACTATTGCGTGCGTCCTCTGTCCCAAAAATGGGCGCCCAGACGGACGGGCCGTTCCATCTCAGGAACAGAATGCCCATATCTGGTTATGAGAAGCCGGTTACTCTTTGCTCTGTGTGTCCTATTTACTTCATGTTTGAGAGGAACACAGTGAGAGAGGAAGTATAGAAGAAACGCCGACCTTTATTAATGCTTTGTTATTTTTGAAATAACCATCTTAGAAAAGACAGTGATACTGTCTGTTTAAAAGTTGATGTTAACTTACCGAAGCCTCTTGAGCCAATAGTGAACTTTTCAAAATGAATGACAGAGCGTGTCTGCCATTTGTGCAATCCTCCTTGAAACATGAAAGTAAGCGTGTTAACTCGCAAAATTGGCTGTTTTCTGGCATATTCAAACCAATTTGAAATGTACATTTGTTTACCTTTATAAACCAAACAGCAATGTTATGAAATCTAATATCTATTCACACACTTGTCAAAATAATTTAAAGGATAAATAGTTCTTAAAGGAAATGTGTAGCAGTTCATTACTAATAGTGTAATGACAAAGAATGTTTCCGTGAAGTATGCAGTTAAATGAGAAATGGTCTTGTCGCAGCAGTTAGAGAGGTGTTGCATGTTCTCCTTATGGCTTTGCTCCTATTACTCTGAAGGTGGTTTAACTCTGGTATCATGTCTCCACTTCAGATGACATCAAAGTCATTCAAGTGAAGCACTTCATCAATCATGTCTCAGAACTCTCCTCGAATAACTTACATGGATACTCACAGGAATTTGAGGTAAGTACCAAAGTCTTGTTTAGCCCGTTCACACTGTAAAGAAGAGAAATAAGAAGCAACCAAATATAGCTAGAAGACTATTAGGCAGGGCACAGAAAAATAAAGTGAGTGCCATGTGGGGTTCAGTTGGGATGAGTTTGGTTCATGGCCTGTTTATTGTGTAAAGTGCCATGAGATGTCTTCTGTTGTGGATCAGTGCAATATACATTTTAAAACTGACCAGACTTAACTCTGCACAGTTGTGTGGATTACTAACTGGTTTGCCTTTTTCTTGTAATGTAATGTCAGAATGAACTTAAACAGAAATCAAAACAATACATCTTACTCTTATGATGAACATTAACCCTTTCATGCACCAATAATGATAACCTGTAACCTGATAAAATGATAAGCTGTCCATTGTGGTAACCGCTGTCCCTGAAAGGGTTTACATTAAAAAACAGAACAGCGGTGTGGAGCATATTCATGTTATGAGTACACAGGTGCAATGGTTTGGAATTGCATCCGGTATTTCTTCAAATGAAAATACCAGAACCTGATCACAGACATCAGTTTTAAGTTTACATGGTCATACATTGTATGGAAGACACCAGTGAAGCTTTCATCTGCAATAATAAGACACACTTTTATTGATCACTCAGCCGTATTGGTGTACAGTACATACAGTATTATTGATGAGATGGCTTGTCGTAGCTTGGTTTGAGTGAAGGTCAATTGGTTGGGAGCCAAGATACCAGAAATGCATGTAATATTTATTAATGTTCAGTCATTCATTACCCCACTGAAAATGTACTCCATCTTCTATAAAATGTTCAAGCTCTGTCAGGTGTGTATGCCAGCCTGAGTTTCACTGCTTCAGGAAATTTAGCTTTACGACAAGAGGTTGAAGCCGATTACATGTACAAGGTACACCACTTGTAAACTTAAGTACGTATTTTAGGCCAGTGTTTTTCAAACTTTTTTCAGCCAAGGCACACTTCTTTCATTGAAAAAAATCTCGGGGCACACCACTAGCTCAAAATGTGAAAAAAATGCAGATTTTAACAATTAGCGTGTTATATTGTTACTATAACCGTTTTTAACATTGAAGAATGATGTTACAACAGCTTGGATTGGAATCAAATGAACACAAAGAAAAAAGTATTTTATAATCTTTCATATTTGTTTCACTGTCGTCCTCCATTCATGCGGCACGAATTCGCTTGTCTTAAGGAGTCGAAACACAAGGCAATTGGCTAGCTGTTGCCAAAATGTGAAAAAAATGCAGATTTTAACAATTAACGTATTATATTGTTACTATAACCGTTTTTAACATTGAAGAATGATGTTATAACAGCTTGGGTTGGAATCAAATGAACACAAAGAAAAAAGTATTTTATAATCGTTCATATTTGTTTCACTGCCGTCCTCCATTCATGCGGCACGAATTTGCTTGTCTTTAGGAGTCGAAACACAAGGCAATTGGCTAGCTGTTGCTGCTCCCTAGTGGTATGGGAGGGAACTACAGGATTACTTTCTTGGCGATAGACCGCACAGGCATACAAATTGGATATTTTCCCGTGGCACGCCTGGCCACACAGGGTTTGAAAAACACTGTTTTAGGCTACACGCTGCTCCAGAGTATAAGTTGCACCAGTCAAAAAAATGTATCATGAAGAGGAAAAAGAAAACATATGAGGCTATATTCACACTGCAGGGCATGATGCCCAATTCAGATTTTTTGTTAAATCCCATCATTTTATTTGCTCGTTCACATTTCAAAAATGTCCTGACACGCATGTGCTCAAAGCACGATGTTTACCCCCAAAAAAACCCCCAAAAAACATCTCAGGGCGTCGTGTTTGCGGACGTAAATACGATCCTGCATGTAGTGGCTCATTTCAGAATGAGAGAGGAGCGAGTGACAGCTCGAAACATTTCGAGGAAATGAGACATTACCCCGCGATCACCTGATTTCACAGAGACTTATACTAGAGATGATGTTATTTTCATTCGGCACGTAACAAACGAACCGTCCACGTAGATGAATTGCACTTATCGCCATGCATTTGTGTTTCAGGTGGGATTAAATTAGAATCAAATATAAACAACTTTGCAGATTCAAAGATGATTGTCAGTATTCTCTTAAGCACGCTCCACCCCTGAGTCACAAAAATTAATTTCAATTTATAGCAAATTCTATTAGTAAGTCATCTCTGGAAGTAAACACACTGGACAGCAAAATGATAGATGGCAAAGATCAGGGGAGAGAAAGACTCACAGAATCCACCCTTACAGGTCCAACCAGGAAAACAGCCTCTATGCAATGCAATAGAACTAGAAACTTTGCAGTTGCAAGGATATGCAAGCAAAAGTGTGTGTGTGTCCGTCTGTTTCTGTCTTTGTCAACACCTAGGAGGTTCAGCGCTGCGCTGCAGAAATGAAGATCACATCGGAAAACTCAAACCATCCTGAAAACAAGCATAAGAACAGATACATCAACATAGTGGCCTGTGAGTAAAGAAAATGGACTCTTATTTCAACACAGAAGCAAAAGCAGTTTAAAAAATATATTGCACGGTTCTGATATTTGGTCCTCAAACAAGAAGTCATGCACAAAAATAATCGAATTGGACAGTTCAAGTGATATTACCGCCAAGTATTAACACTAGAGGACAGGGTTGTGTGTTTTTCAAAAATAAGATGACCCTTTATAATGTCCTTGCAAATACCACCACACACAAGGTGAATCCAACCCTCTTTGGTAGATGCTTGCCATGTCTCGTACAGACATTAGCTGCGGTTAATTATCTGGAACTGTCTAGAAGCAGGCCAATCTTGTTCACTGGACTGCATGATGGAAGCAAAAGGGCAGGTGGAAAAGGCCAGCTGGACTTTTATTTGAACTCCACTATGAAAATGTGCAGGTGCTTTGGCAGTGCACCTCAGTACCTGATTTAGAGAACAGGACTGTTATACGTTGAAGCTGATTTTACTTTCAAAATGCAAACATTACTTATCATCTACCCTATGATTTATGCTCAGATGACCACAGCAGAGTGAAGTTAAGAATGTTAGTGGGAAAGGATTCCAAACACACCGACTACATCAATGCCAACTATGTGGATGTGAGTGTTTCCACAGAATCTGTGTTCTCATCTGTGTGCTCATGTGTGTCCGTGTGTGCGTGTGCGCGCGCGTGGGTGTGTGTGTGTGTGTGTGTGTGTGTGCTCATGTGTGTCCGTGTGTGTGTGTGTGTGTGTGTGTGTGCATGTCTGTGTGTGTGTGTGCATGTCTGTGTGCGTGCGTGCATGTATGTTTGTGCATGCATGCATGCGCGTGTGTGTGATGTATGTGTGTGTAATTGATATAAAGTAAAAGGTTAAAAAACTTAAAAATGCCATGTTTTGTGTTGCTAAGTGAATTCAACAATTTCAGAACTCCATCCATGCACCCATCTATTATCTCAACTGCTTTTTCCTCACGAGGGTCGCAGGCATACTTGAGCATATCCCAGATGAATTCGGGCAGCCAATCGCAGGGCACACACAGAAAAACAATGATTCACACTCACAAGCACACCTAAGAAGAATTTTGAGTGATCAGTGACCCCACCGTGCATGTTTTTGGAATGTGGCAGGAAACCGGAGTAACTATAGAAAACCCACGCAGGCACGGGGTAGAACACGCAAACTCCACACAGGAAAGCCAGGGCCCAGAATCTAACCCATGGCATCTGCATTGTGAGGTGGACGTGGCATTTAGACCTTACACCAATTGAAAATCTTTGGAGTGGCAGAAGATGTCTGTAGTCAAGAGAAATCCCAGCAATCTGACAGATTTCGAGCACTTTTCCAAGTGTGTGACAAATAATGCAAAGTAATTATATGGCGCACTTATCAATACTCTTTTTATATTTATTCTGTCTTGGTCTTCTTTTTACATCACAAAGCTGGCATTAGAAAGAAGTGTTTAGAATGTATACCTACTTTATTTTTTATTATTATTTTTATTATTGTTATTATTATTATTATTATTATATTATTATTATATTTTTTTTTAATGATGCATGTATAATTTTGAAAATTGTCTTCACAGATAAACCCTGACTAACGTGTGTCTCTCTCAGGGTTACAATAAGCCCAAGGCTTACATTGCAGCCCAGGGCCCACTCAAGTCGACCTTTGAGGATTTTTGGCGGATGGTGTGGGAGCAGAATACAGGCGTCATTGTTATGATCACTAACTTAGTTGAAAAAGGACGAGTATGTGACACACACACACACACACACACACACACACACACACACACATGCACACACACATTCACACGCACGTTTTTGAACCACAATTTCCCAAAATATGACACTCACCGTGAAAATCTCATCTTTGCTTGCATAAAGTCATGCACAATTCTCAGTACAGTGAACTCCAGCTATTTGAAGGCCATCAGTTGCTCTGCCCGCTAACATAAAATAATCTTTGAGTTTGTAGCTGTATACATATGCCACGAAACAGCGGTAAAATATTTAAAACAGACATAAAATCATAAAGAAACCATACATCTAGTTAGATAAACAATCATGAAAAGATGGTACATGAACGACTTTTCAGTTATTAAATTATTCAACACAAACAAACCACCTTCACATGAAGCTCATCAATAGTATTAGCTAGCATACTAGGCTAAATAACATGTGAGCACTAACTGACGTGACATTATGTAAAAGAAAACAACTATGCACACTCCCACAAAGGGTTTGTCATTTAAGTCACTTTTCAGTTATTAAATTATTCAACACAAACAAATCACCTTCACATGAAACTCATCAATAGTATTAGCTAGCATACTAGGCTAAATAACATGTGAGCACTAACTGAAGTGACATCATGTAAAAGAAAACAACTATGCACACTACCACAAAGGGCTTGTCATTTTAAGTCCCTGTAAAGTGATAGACCTCTCTCTGTGTTTCCTGAATGCACTGAAAACATGCCCCATTTGACTAACCTGTGAATCAAATATGTTCTTGCAGTCTGTGCTAAAATGTCAGACATTTTGAGCCACAGGCTGTTTAACTCGTATTACTGCTATGTTTAATGAGATGTTAACTTTCCCTGAAGTGTCTCAATGATCTAGACCCGCACACAACACAAAATTGAGTGAGGCAGTGATTTATTGGATGACGCTGGTCCACGGGCATTGTGCTACTCCACTAGCCAGCTAGCGCATGGCCCGCAGACCATTGTCGGGCTTGACCAATAAGTCACTGCCGCATTTCCTTTACAGTCATTTGTCTGTCCACATAAACAGCAGTGTTGCAGGCTTGCGAGCCACTGATAGCCGGGTTGTCTGGAATGAGTGCTGACTCACTCCGGAAAGCCCAAGTGCGTACTTTACCCATGCCCAAAAATCCAAACAACTGAAATGCTGATTGATTTTTAAATTAATGATTTTTTTTTGATTTTTTTTTTATAAGACCTGCCTTACATACAGTATGTGCGTTTGTTTTGCTCCTTTCTCATGAGCAGAGTAATTCATTCCTTCGTCCCATCCCGGCTGGATTACTGTAATGCACTTTGCTTCGGAGTCAGCCAATCCTCCATTAAGCGTCTCCAGCTGGTCCAGAATGCTGCTGCTCGCCTCTTGACTGGTACTCATAAGAGGGAGCACATAACTCCTACTCTGGCATCCATATTCGTTTTAGTGTTGTTTTTAAGATCTTACTATTTGTTTTCAAATCTTTGAATGGCCTTGCTCCACCTTACCTCTCTGAGCTTCTCCGCCCCTACACACCTGCCCGGTGCCTCAGGTCTGTGGACCAGACATTATTTGAGGTACCAAGAACCAAGCGGAGGCTCAGAGGGGATTGAGCCTTTTCTGTTGCTGGTCTCTCCCACTGAACATTCGACATGCCCCCTCGCTGCCCATCTTCAAAACTCGTCTCAAAACTAATTTCTGTTCTTTGACTTTTGACTTAGCATGAGACTTGATTTTTAGTCTTACTGTTTTTATACTTTCTACTGCCTTTGTTATTGATTGATTGTTTTAATGTTGATTGTTGTATACATGATATTTGCTCCATGTACACCACTTTGTATACAGCGGTGGTTGTTTTAAAGTGCTCTATAAATTCAGTTGAGTTGAAATGCTTCCACACCATAACAAAGAAATTAATCTACATAAAGTGTGCAGTAGTGTTATAGGGCTGGGTACCGAAGTCTGCCATTCCTTTCAGCGGTACCAAGCACCATTTCACATTTGTTCTTGGCTCATGACAGATGCAGATGCTTTCTTCTTTGCTCTCTCGCTCTCTTGGTCTCTCTCTCTCTCTTGCTCTCTCTCTCTCTCTCTGCTCTTCTATCCCTTTTTTTGGCTTTGCCGAGTGTAGTGTTTTTTTGTCTAAACTGTGAGACTAAAGCCCCATTCTGCATTTTCCTCAACAAACATCATTGAATTGATCAGCTGATCTTTTAATGCAATCGACAAAATGTCCTCTATGTGATCGGGTAAGGGTGGTTGTCCTGATGGAACATTTACGACTTGTTATACCATGGACATCCATCGAGGATGTCAACGACCAATTCCATAATTGTAATTCTTAAAAGGCACTCTGTTATTTGGTGTTGACAGTTTCCTGATTTATTGCAAAGTTTGGAAGACGCTGGTTGCACAATTGGAAATGGGGAAGCTCACAGTTATGACTGATAATCTACGGCATGTTGTCAACACTCAGACTGAGGCGACGAGAGAGCTCACTCCCAGGCTGGATGCGATTACTGAGCTTCTTTGCAAAAGAGACGACAACTTAGAGAAGTTGAAAGCCTGCCTCGAATAAATGACCGCAACTTCGGCTAATCGTTGCCCATTGAGAGGTCCAGGGAGAGACTCAAGGCTGACTGAAATTAAAGTGGGCCTGAGATAAAACAACTGTTATCTCTATTGGCGTTTGGGCCCTGTGAAGGCCTTTATCTCCTGGATGTTTATGCAGACCAGATGCTCAAGCCCACTATCTTCCGAACCATTCCTTCTCCAGTGATTTTCGCAACTGGACCTGGACTCCTAGAGGACGTTGTTCCGAGAGCTGGGAGGAAACAGGGCCAAAGACACCCATAAGGGACAGAAAACACCATAAACAATCTTATCTTCAACACCTCCCTTGGTAGTCCCTACCCCATTCCTCCCAATGGTGCAGTGTGCGTGTGCTGTGGAGGATGTGATGCGCCGATGCAAGGCTGCGTTCGCCTGTTCATTGCATCTGGGCTGTGTGCCTCTGCTCGAAACCTCCCATATCCCCTTCCACATGTGCAAGTATTCGAGTTATGTCATCTATTCATGTGGCTGTTTGCTGAGGTTTTCTCCACACCTCACACTGCGTCCTTCCATTATTGGAGCATAGTTTGCATCTAAGGCGCCGCTTCGCGATTCGTCTCCCTGTGTTAGTCATTGTTGTTTATTTCTTTTGGATGGGTTGAAACCATAAAATTAATACATTGCTCAGTATTTGCCATACCATGTTTCGAGACCGAAACTTATCTTTTGATTGTGGACTGGACAGGTGCGTCTTAACTTTTTTTTAAATAACTGAACAATGCCCTCAGTGAAGCACCTGCAAGTAGATTATGCTTTGAAAAGGAAGTTGCACAACATGTAGAAGTTCACATTACCGTATTGGAGCTCCCACCGCTCCAAGACTTGATCAGCCTGCCGTGGGCTGAATGTCAGTGAAGTCATAATCAGGTGAGTAAAAAAAAAAAATATATATATTTATTGCCCAGATTGAGGCATCTCAACTGAATGGTGGTTCAACTCAAATGCAAATAACCAGCTAACAGTATCATACTGCATGTATTTTGTATACGTGTATTCTCATCTCAAGTATAGACACAACTGTGTCCTCAAAACTCAGACCTCTTGTTTGAATAGGCTGATAGACTGTATGATCCTCTTCCTCAACAAGGGCTGTGTTTGAGGTCATATTGTACCTGCTAATAATCTAAACTTCTGCCTATCTATATTAGGTTAGCCCATCAGTGAGAGCAACATGTTCCCAATCATTTAAATTCATGTGTAAATTGATTTTCACGAGGTTTTCAAAAATGAAGCTCGATGAATGTTGTGTGATTAGTTGCCACCAAAATTGAGAATCTCTAGTCCAATGCAGGCAAAAAACATGGGCCATCTCAATTATTCATTTTAGTCTATGGTGCCCAAATGAATGAGAATCCAGAATCATTTGGAATCAGAATTGACTGCAATGGAAGACAGAATCGTTAAAAGTCAAACATTGCCCAACCCTTCTGTTCTTCTGTTCATGACTCATCTGCTGTCTGCTGGCAACAGGAAATGGCCTTAAAATTTGGTAATGGTTGTGGCAGCAGCAGCAGCGCTCACAGATAAAATGACTATGCAAGTGAGGCATCATCCTTGTCTGTTCCAAGTTAATTGGCCTAGCGTTTGAAATCACGTTTGCCTGGCTTTTTAGCTGGCATTAGGCATCATTGCCGCAGAAAGTGAACATGTTTATGTATTTGAAAAAAAATGCTCAAAGAACAATGACAATCAGGAATACAATTACTGTTCGTTGTCTTTCCTTGTATTACTTTAATTTTGGAGTGGGGGTGGGGGGGTTGTATTATCCTTGTTCCGTGCAGTCCATTGCAATAATGTTTGCTTTCCATGATGCATTTTGTAATGCGTTTTTGTTCGAATTGTTCACACATTATTTTCTCTCAAACCTGTTTTGTTCATTTATTTTTATTCTACAATGTTGTTAGGTTCGATTGTTGAAATAAACACACACACGCACACACAGATAGATAGATAGATAGATAGATAGATAGATAGATAGATAGATAGATAGATAGATAGATAGATAGATAGATAATATTTAAAAATAAATGTTAAATTGTTAAATTGAATATTTTTTTAGATTTTATGATTGAAAAAAGTATCATTTATTACAACATAAACACCCACAATATTGCCAACAAGTGGTACCGTTTAATACCAGGACAGATTCCCAGCTACCTGCAGTTGGTACCGTACTCGCACCCAAAAAAAAATAAAAATCCAGTTGTACATATTTTTTCTCACATGCTGTATCTCAACAATTCACAACTAAATTGTTCAACTTTAAGCATATTTAATGTACTTAGAAATAAATCACTGAAATAATGATTACGTGCAGTCATACATTTAGTGAGAAAAAAAGGCAGATTTTAACATCATTGCAGAGTATGCGGCAGAGGCAGTTTGTCAATAGATGGTGCTAGGGCGCATATATATATATTGGGTGTGTGTGTGTGTGTGTGTATCTTTCTCTCTGCACTTTCTGTCACTTCTTCTTTCTTGAGTCAGCAAGATGCTCATAAGTCATCAAGATACTCAAACACAGTACGTTCTGACAGGCTTTTCCTAAGTTTAATTGTTCGTAGGTATATAGATAGATAGATTGATGTAATTCATGTAATATATAATGTTAAAGACATACATACAATTTCCTTTGAAAATCACTGACTTGGACTGTTAGGAGTATTTGAATTGTTGGCAGTTGTTCACATCCAAAATCTCCCTTGAGCTACCACTGATATTTACACTTTCAGTAGCAGCATCAGGAGTAAAGCAAAGCCAATCTTTTAAGTTTCACATTTCACAACAAAACCAGACATCTCAAACACAGATGAAAAAAATATCATGAAGGTATTACATTTAAGAACAGCAACAAGATTCCAGTTGAAGCAGCGTTTGCTTTGGCCTAACTACAAAAAATATGAATGTTTTTTTTTTCAATCGACGTAGAAGGCCATTGCGAAACACACACAAAAAAATCTACTAAATTTGCAAACCGAACTGTGAATTAGCGGGGGTTCACTGTATTGCAACTCATCCATTGCATGTCTGAACTAACTTGTGCACTCTAATCTGTAAAAGAAAGTGAAAGCTTCATGAGTGATTTTTTTCATGTTAGTTAATATGTGCATGTGTCTGTGTTTTACTGTCATCGCAGAGAAAATGTGACCAGTACTGGCCAACAGAGAATAGTGAGCAATATGGCAACTTAGTTGTCACATTGAAAAGTACCAGCGTTCATGCCTGCTACACTGTTCGACATTTTACACTGCATAACACAAAAGTGAAAAAGGTAGGAATCCTCTTCTTTCTTTTTTTTTTTTTTTTTTTTACTATCTTGACCGAAGTGTTGTCCCTTAATGTTAACACTTTACCCTACTCTGTGCAGTTTAAAGTACAGTGGTATGGGTACTTTAAATATGTATGCAGCATATTATGGAGAATTGATGCTTTTTTTGAAAAGCCTGCCCCCTCATTTGTCAGGATGGGTACTAATAAGATGTTATCGATACTAATACTCTTGCTTATCGATCTGGTGCCTTAACTGTACTTTTTCCTGTTTAGAAAAACACCAAAACAAAACTATTAGACCTCCCTCCATCCATCCATTATCTAAACCGTTTTCCTGACCATTGCTCATTTTTAAAATTAATTAATTGATTTTTTTGTTTGTTTGTTTTTTTTTTTTTGAATAAATGTACTTGTCTTGGAACTACTATGACATTAATGGAAAATAAGCAAATAAGATTTGAACAAATTACTATTCTACTGTTAAACAGTATATAAGCGATTATGTCGTGTAAAAGTAAGCTTGTGTAGAGCAACATTCTTGTGCTGCAAAAAGCACTTCTGTGAGGTGAGATGCACATTATACATATGTTGGTTGATATAATAAAAATAATAATAATACATTTCATTGATAAGCACCTTTCACAACACTCAAGGACACTTTACAATCAAGGACAAACCAAAGAACAATAAAACCACAGATTATAAATAATAAAAGAAGAGACACATTTAAATTAATAAATCGATTGTGTTGCTCACTATTTTAATTATTGGTTGCACTTGTGACAACGTGCATTTAGCAGTGACATTGCAACGTAATCCACCGTCCCTCTCCAGTCTCCAGGCATAACCAACAATAACCAAGCTTTGACATTAGTATGATTGTTGCGTTGAGTGAAAATTGATTCGTCATGCCTGCAGTTCAAAGCAACAGAGCTAACCCAATGTAAATTACGCCAGTTTGCGCTGCGTGAGTGTACGCCTCACTCTTTGCAGCCTTCAAAGCTGCTCACTTAGCTGTGTGTGCTTGCTAGCCAGTGAAACGTTTGTGGTGCGGCTTCGAAGGTGGGGTTGGAACGGCGCCATCATTGATACACAAAGAGAAATCCCACATATGAAAATATAAAAACGAGAGGGTTATTCGGTAGAATGGATGTTTTTAACTAATACTTCGTATCATGTCATAATATGATCACACGGTACTACAGTGACACAGGGAAGTCATAGGCGCCTGTCGCGCATGGCGAAGCCGTGAAGCGAGATGGCTTGCCTCTGATTGTGAACATGTATCTTAGATGAACATATTAACTTTCTGGTTAATTAGAAACATCAGAGAGGTAGTGGGTGCAAATTAATGTTCATTTGTATAGCTGAAATTAATCAAAAATGAATTTGAGTAATTTCCCAAGACCGTTAAGGGAACCGTCGAAGTGGAGCTTATCGATTACTGCAGGTTTTAAAAATTGAGCCTCGGGGCCAATTTAAGTCCAGTACTCTGTACCGATTCCTCCTTATTTGTCTTCAGCAAAACCTTATATGTCCTCTCTTCTTTTATTTTCCACCATCTAGGGTGGAAAGGGACACACAAAGACACGGGCCCAGAGTGAGTGGAACGTGCTTCAGTATCATTATACACAGTGGCCCGACATGGGTGTTCCTGAATACACCTTGCCTGTCCTCACGTTTGTTCGCCGGTCCTCAGCTGCCCAAACGCCTGATATGGGGCCGATGATTGTCCATTGCAGGTAATAGCTGATGTACACTTTGTGTACTGTTGCTTACTTTTCATCCATCCACTCATTCCCTTCGGCTTTTCCGAATTTGGTTCATGGGAACAGCAGTTTAAGCAGAAAAGCACAGACTTCCCCTCTTCCCAGCGACTTCATCTAACACTTGTGGGTTGTTCCCAGGACTCGTCCCTCCAGTGAGTTTTTGGTCATCTGCAGTGCCTCTTCCCAGTTGGATGTGCTCAGAACATCTCACTGGAGACGCATCTGGGAGTCATTGTAACCAGATGCTTGAGCCACCTCATCTGGCTCCTCTCAATGCGGAGCGGTATCGGTTCAACTTTGATTCCTTCCCAAATGAGCTCCTCAAATGAAACTTCTCAACTCATTTTGGCCGCTTGCATCCATAGTGAGGGTGGGATGTGGATCGACTGGTAAATGGAGAGCTTCACCTTTCGTCTCAGCTCCTTTCTTTACCACAACAGACCGCTACAGTGTCAGCCTGTCAATCTCCTCTATTATTGCCTCACTCATGAACAAGACCCCAAGATACTTGGGGCAGGATCTCATTCCTGACCTGGAGAGGACACTGCACCCTTTTTCAAATGAACACCTTGGTCTCAGATTTGGAGGTGCTGATTCACTTCCAGTAAAGCTCCCCCTGCCTGCTGAATTTTGAAACAGATCAGGAAACAGCCAGCTCCAAACAGCAGGATACCTCATTAGAATTCCTATTATGTGTATATCCTCCACCCTCTCCGGACAAAATTGATAGGCACACCATTTTCCACGAGGAATCTAGGTTGTACCCAGCAGCAAATATCCCTGAGGGGGAAGAAGGCTCCCCACTGCCTGCTCTTTTCATCAAGCATGACATATATTTTTTTGACCAATGGTTAGATTTTTGGAAGAAAACACAGCAGGAGGTTAGAGTGATAGGTGAAACAGACAAAGTCACCAAGTAGGTAGAGAAGGACGGGAGAGGAGCAGAGTAAAAAGTCTCCGCCTTCATTGATAGCAAAGCCAATGCAGTAAAGGTGTGGCTGCAGCAGATTGAAAATGCATGAGGGTATTTACAAGGTAATTTTGTACTTGACAATAAGAATAGAGGGTTCATAAATAAAAACTTCAACTTTCAGGGATGAATGGGGGCAATGATAGTAGTTTTGGTATTTGAATAAATACTAAGATTTGAACACTAATTTTTTTTTTAATTGTTTTGGTGATTTCACTACCAATCAATGTAATCATGACACTTACTTATTTCCATAATTGCCTGGCACTACACTTCAGCACCCCTCCAAGGACTCCAAAAAGTGCAGGTATTCTGAATTTCTGCTTGGTGCATAGGCCCAAACAACATTCAGCCACCGGAAGACGGTGCGATGCAGCTCTGTCATCCACTGGGGTAAACCCCAACGTTAAGGCATGGAGCCAAGGGTAAATAAGTATGCACCCACCTCCTTGGTACTTCTCACCATGGACAACTCTAAAGTGATATAGAGTCCATACCCCTTTCGAGAGGATTAGTATCGTAGCCCAAGCAATACGGGGAGGTGAGCCCGACAATATCAGGTCGGAACTTCTATGCCTAGCACACCAGCTCGGACTTCTTCCCTGCCAAAGAGCCTAAAGCTAGCTTCTGTGGTCAAATATCGAATCGCGAAGGCTTCAGCCTTCGGCCGCCACCCAGGTCATGATGCACCCGACCCACAGGTGGTGACCCCATGTGAAAGTGGACCCACATTGCTTCTTCAGGCTGTGCCCAACCGGGCCCCATGGGTGCAGGCCCAACCGCCAGGTGCTCACCATCAAGCCCTACCTCCATTTCTGGCTTCAGAGGGAGTGGGGGTGGGAGGACATGTCAACACAAGGAAAATGGTGTCCAATTATTGTCTCATTGTGAGGGACCTTTGAGCTTTGTCACACCACCTCGGAACTGTCGGCCATGTGTGTCCCTGCCTGGGCCAAAGAGCCCGAAAGATCTTAACCTTTAGGATCATTGGGACACACAAACCACTCCACTATGAAAAAGCACCGACTTAAAACAAATCTCTAAATTCTAATATTCAAGAGAATAATTCTCATTTGCACAATAGAATCATTATTCCTCCACCAAGCAATGAAGTTAAAAGTAGTATTTTTTACTTTGCAGGTTTCCTTTCACACAGATTTGAGAATAGGACAAAGTGAAAAGACAATGAATGAATGAATGAAATGAGGAAAGTTACTCTTCAGCACAAGATTAGGGTGAAGTTTGAGCATGTGCATTATTTACAGGTTTAAATCGTTGACACCAGGAGAAGAGGAGGGAGGAAGGTGTGTCTGTAGGAATAGAGAGAAATGGAATAGGACTGAGAGTAGGGATTTTCAATGTTGTACCTATGACAGGAAAGGGTAGAGAGTTGGTTGACATGATGCAGAGGAGGAAGGTTGACATCCTGTGTGTCCAGGAAACCAGGTGGAAAGGTAGCAAGGCTAGAAGCCTAGGATTGGGGTTCAAGTTGTTCAATCATGGTATAGATAGGAAGAGAAATGGAGTAGGAATTATCTTGAAGGAGGAATTTGTTAGGAATGTCCTAGAGGTAGAAAGAGTGTCAGATAGAGTGATGAGTCTGAAGACAGAAACTGAAGGTGTGATGTTCAATGCTGTTAGTGGGTGTGTTCCACAGGTAGGATGTGAGTTGGAGGAGAAGGAGAAATTTTGGTTGGACCTTGATGAATTGATGCAGAGCATCCCTAGAAGTGAGAGAGTTGTAATTGGTGCAGACTTCAATGGACATGTTGGCACAGGAAACAGAGATAATGAGGAGGTGATGGGCAGGTTTGGAATTCAGACGAGGAATTCAGAAGGACAGATGGTGGTTGACTTTGCAAGGAGGATGCAAATGGCTATAGTGAATAGTCTCTTTCGGAAGAGGCAGGAACATCGGGTGACCTATAAGAGTGGAGGCAGGAGTACACAGGTAGACAACATTTTGTGTAGACGGTGCAACCTGAAGGAGATCAGTGTCTGCAAAGTAGTTGTGGATGAGAGTGTAGCCAGACAGCATATGATGGTGGTGTGCAGGATGATTCTGGTAGTGAGGAAGATGAACAGAACAAAACCAGAGCAGAGGACGAAATGGTGGAGGCTGAAAAAGGAAGAGTGTCGCATGACTTTTAGGAAGGAGTTGAGACGAGCACTGGGTGGTCAGGAGACGCTTCCAGATGACTGGACATCTACAGCTAATGTAATCAGGGAGACAGGTAGTAAAGTACTTGGTGTATCATCAGGAAGGAAAGTAGATACGGATACTTGGTGGTTGAATGAGGAGGTGCAGGAGTGTATACAGAGAAAGAGGTTAGCTAAGAATAAGTGGGACACTGAGAGGACCGAAGAGATTAGACAGGAGTACAGGGAGATGCAGCACGTGGTGAAAGTAGAGGTGGCCAAGGCCAAACAAGAGGCCTACGATGACTTGTATGCTAGGTTGGATAGCAAGGAGGGAGATACTGATCTCTACAGGTTGGCGAGACAGAGATGGGAAGGACATGCAGCAGGTTTGGGTGATTAAGGATAAAGATGGAAATGTATTGACAGGTGCCAGTAGTGTGATGGGAAGATGGAAAGACTACTTTGAAGAGTTGATGAATGAGGAAAATGATAAAGAACAAAGAGTAGAAAGGGTGGCTGTTGTGGACCAGGAAGTGGCAAATATTAGCAAGGATGAAGTGAGGAGGGCACTGAAGAGGATGAAAAGTGGAAAGGCACTTGGGCCTGATGATTTACCTATGGAGGTATGGAAGTGTCTAGGGGAGGTGGCAGTGGAGTTTCTGACTGGGTTGTTCAACAAGCTCTTAGATAGTGAGAAGATGCCTGAGGAATGGAGGACAAGTGTACTGGTGCTCATTTTTAAGAACAAGGTCGATGTGCAGAGTTGTAGTACCTACAGAGGAAGTTGATGAGCCATACAATAAAACTATGGGAAAGAGTAGTTGAAGAGACTAAGAGCAGAAGTGTGTATTTGTGAGCAGCAGTATGATTTCATGCCAAAAAAAGAGTATGACAGATACAGTATTTGCTTTAAGGATGTTGATAGAGAAGTACAGAGACGGTCAGAGGGAGCTGCATTGTGTCTTTGTAGATCTGGAGAAAGCGTATGACAGGGTGCCCAGAGATGAAATGTGGTATTGTCTGAGGAAGTCCAGGGTGACAGAGAAGTATGTTCGAGCGGTGCAGGACATGTATGATGACTGTACGACAGTGGTAAGGTGTGCTGTAGGTGTGACTGAGGAATTCAAGGTGGAAGTGGGACTTCACCAGCGGTCAGCTCTGAGCCCCTTCTTCTTCGCTATAGTGATGGACAGGAAGACAGACCAGGTTAGACAGGAATCTCCATGGACTATGATGTTTGCAGATGACATTGTGATCTGTAGTGAGAGCAGGGAACAAGTGGAAGAAAAATTAGAGAGGTGGAGGTCTGCCCTGGAAAGGAGAGGAATGAAGGTCAGTCGAAGCAAGACGGCAAGTACAAGAACGTGGTAACAGGGAGAAGAGATAAAGAAGGTGGAGGATTTTAAGCGTGGTAACAGGGAGAAGAGATAAAGATGGTGGAGGATTTTAAGTACTTGGGGTCAACTGTCCAGAGCAATGGAGAGTATGGAAAAGAGGTGAAGAAGCCTGTACAGGCAGGCGGGAATGGCTGAAGATAAATGTTAGGTGTGATGTGTGATAGAAGAGTTTCAGCTAAGATAAAAGGAAAGGTGGAAAAAACCGCGGTGAGGCCATGTTGTTTGGACTGGAGACAGTGCCACTGAAGAAAAGACAGGAGGCAGAACTGGAGGTAGCAGAGATGAAGATGTTGAGGTTCTCTTTAGAAGTGACCAGGTTGGATAGGATCAGGAATGAGTACATCAGACGGACAACTCATGTTAGAGGTTTTGGAGAGAAAGTCAGAGAAGCCAGACTGAGATGGTGTGGACATGTCCAGAGGAGAGAGAGTGAATATTTTGGTAGAAGGAACTGAGTTTTGAACTGTCAGGCAGGAGGCCGAGAGGAAGACCAAAGAGGAGGTTTATCGATGTAATGAAAGAGGATATGAAGGTATCTGGTGTGAGAGAAGAGGATGGACAAAACAGGGTGAGATGGAGGCAACTGATTTGCTGTGGCGAGCCCTGAGGGGAAAAGCCGAAAGGAAAAATTGTTGACACCATGAGCAAATATTGTGTTTGGTCGCTGTCTTGTGAGAAACACAATATATATATATATATATATATATATACACACACACACACACACACACACACACACACACACACACACACACACA